TGACACATTTTCAGTTTGTCATGGTGAGAACCCATATAACTAATAAGCTTATCGTTAGATCACAGCAGTGTGAAGAACGTAAGAATTTAGCTTTGAGGTCTGGAACGTCTTCATCTATAGGTACCCACATGTTCTCACTGCGCTAGATATCATACGGTTCTTTTTTCCCATTGTCAGCATTTGGTGACACATATATGCGTTCCCTTTAGGAATCTGGGCTAGTGTTGTTTCTTCACGACATAACTCTGCTGGTGATGGACTGGGTGTCAGGCTCGATGACCAGGGCCTCCTTTCACAAAGCACTAAGGTGATCGTAAGTCACTAAGGTAACCTTAGTGCAATGTTAAAGAATGGGAGTTAAGGTTAACCTTAGTAAAGGTTACTTCGTGAAAGGAGCCCCAGGTTGCGGTTCTACAAAACGATCTTAGGGCGAGAACGGGCGATTGTATGTCTTAGTGCTCGGACGGCCACAGACACATCAGTCACTGGTTTGCCTGAACTCGAAGAAATACGTCAAATGGTCAGAATATCATGATAAAACTTAAACTGGGGGCACTTGTTTACATCCAAATTTTATATATCAAAATGTTTTGTCGCTTTCATTTCCATTGTATTGTGACAAATAATAGTGCATGAGGCTTCGTTCCTAAATGCACATTACTTGAACAGAAGCTGACACGCCATATAACAGTAAACTACATACAAAGAATTGTTTTCTTTTGACCACTATAGATCTACTGCACACTTCAGCGGAAATGCGCACAACTGAATTATTATACAGATGAGGGGTATACAACCTCCCCAACTCACTCCACCCCACCCACTCCACACACCTGCCGCACTGACAACTGTTCTCAGATGACGGGTCAGAACAACCTCCGCGCCACCCACGCACAGGTGGAGAAAGTAACAAAAGTACTCTGGAATTCTAAGATGTAAATGGTTCTCCTTGAAAATGAGTGATAGAGCTCGTGATCTGTTCTTAATTAAATATTACGAGATAAATCAAATACAACACGGCGTAAATAGTGATTTCTGCAGGTGTTTCTATATTATTATATACCCTCTTATCTTGCATTAATGTGTTAATTCATAAAACAATTCATGGCATAGCAATGTAGAACCGGCAGGGTTCAATACGGAATTGTACATATAAAAGATATGTTTTCTTATATATATATCGCATATATATATATATATATATATGATATATATATATATATATATGGGTACATATTTCGTACGTATCATATTTTTATGTAATAATTTAAGAAACAACAGTAGTGAACGTATGCATTATGGTACCACCATGTATTTATATATGTAATAGCACGCTTTCGCCCTGAACTATTATATGCGTTGTATTATTATGCGTCCGAGTGCTTTAACGTTATAGTAGTTCAGGGCGAAAGGGTGCTTTATTACACTATACATGGTGGTATAGCGAACTATATTTCTTTTCTCAGATGCCAAATGTAATGCTTTCTAAGGATAATCACGATTAATCTAAGGCAGAAAAGAAACGACGGTGTCTGTGACCTAAATTAAGAATCCTCGCACAGGGCTAACTGGCGCGCTGTTCTATAGATGTGTCTGCCCCCCTAGGTTAAGACGAACGTTACCAGAAAAAAAAATAATAAACAGTTTGATGACGGTCTACGTTCGGATTAAATATCTTCTCTAAAATATTTTAATTACATCTGTGATTAACATAAACCACATGGGACAATATGAACGTCGCATTTCTACTACCAACGTAAGTGTAGATCAGTACATCCAGATGAAGCTGAGTAGTCAAGCGACATTCCGTGATTGCATTGTGGGAATATAAACATTGCGAACGTTATCGTGCCGCTGAAAACACCAAGAAACGGGATGCAACGGAGTAGTTTACTGTAGGAGGCCGTACGAGGCGATGACAACTGACATGCATCGTGACGTCGCTTACATTGTGACATAACGCAAAATTGTTCGATTACGAGGGGGCAGACTAGAATGGCGCAGTGACGCCAATACATTGTGACGTTATGCAAAGTGTATATATATATATATATATATATATATATATATATATATATATATATATATACTCAGCAGCCAAAAAACGTCAGTACGATCTTGACACATCAATGAAGAACTCGGCACAATTTCAAGACATTATGTGAACGTTTGCAGTCCATTCAGTTTGACTTCAATATCTAGTGTGACCACCACGAGCGGCAATAACTGCAGCACAGCTTCTATGCAAGGAGTGCACCAATCGATTGATGAAGGCCATTGGCACCTTGAACCACACTCTGAGAAAGGCCTGGCGCAATAAATCGGCTGTGATCGATCTTGGTATGCCATTAATCAGTATCCTCTGAATTTCATCTCAAAGATGCTTAATTGGGTTTAAATCAGGACTCAGGGCTGGCCACTGCATAATGTTGACACCGTTTTGCCGTAGAAAGTCCCGTGTAGCTCTGGCAGTATGGGCCCGGGCGTTATCATGCTGGGAAATGTTGTTCCGGTGACGTGCGAAACGTGGTATGACGTGGGGTCTGAGAGCTTGGTCGATGTAGTGCACCGCTGTGATGCCGCCTCCTCTCTCTGGACCAAGGTTCTGGAACAGCACAGGACCCACTCTCTGGTTCAGGCCTATTCCACCCAATGCCATGATGCTTGCACCTCCCCATGAGTCTCTTTCTATAACACATTGGTCTGAGTAACGCTGGCCACGTCGTCGCCATATTCTTGTTCTGCCATCTGCAGTTGATACGCAGTACCGACTCTCATCTGTGAACAGAACAGTTCTGCACTGCCTGTACCGCCAGATTTGGTGTTGTAGGGCAAACTGTAGACGTTCACGCCGATGACGAGGGGGTGAGGATAGGTCCACGGTAAGGTCTACGGCAATGGAGGTTCCCGCTGTTCAGACATCGGCGTACCGTACCAGTACTGATTGGTATTTCGTGTGTTCCCACTGTCTGGCGTTCTGTTTCGGATGCCTGCATGAAGGGATTCTGTACATGCTGTCGCCCTTGGTCTGCCAGTACGGGGATGATCATTTGTGGTGTTGCACGGACACGTTGCTGCAGTCTGTAGATGGTCCGAACGTTGACCTGGAAGTGAATGGCAACGGCTTGTGCAGTGTGGCCCAGCTTCAAGTCTTCCTAGCACCTGGTTCCTCTGAGCTGTCGTGAGTCGCGGCATCCTGCTGACGTTGTAATGTGAATGTTTCAACCAGGTTTGGGGTGCATTTTATAGGGCTGGTGCTTGTGAACAGCACGTGCGGCATGAGTTGCATGAAAAAACATGGAGAACACCGTACCATCTCCGAGATCAGGTTGCGTTTTTGAGACCATTTCCTGGGTTCAATTTTGAGTTTGGGAAGGAATGTCTTCGCTTAGTTAAAGTTGGAGATGTTGTCAAAAATATACAATCAAAACATTAAATGAGTTTACAGTTATCCGTTTCTGCGAAGGAAAATTCCAACCTGACGTTTCTTTTGCTGCTTAGTATATATGTATATATTACCTTCATGTAAAATATTTTAATTTCACTGGTCAATGGCGCTTTAACAAGTTTCCGTGTCACCCCTCCCAGAAGGGTAACACCTGAAAAAATAAAACATAATATTACCCGCTGGCACGGTAACGGCCAAACTCTTCGTCGAGCGAAGCTGTATCATTAATAATCGTATGACGTCATAATATAACGCATGCAGAGCACGGAGTTCGAATTCCGTTCGATTAGCTGTTCACTATGTACACATTTATTAAACCGACTTTCACTGCTTTGTGCATTGAATTGTTTGCACACTCAACTTAAACATAATTAATCATTTTTATTTAGCAGTTTTAAGCTTGTCAGAATACGTTTCACTGATGTTAAACATCCAGTCGAGAGGTAGACGCCATTTTGTTCACAGGTCATGTAGTCGGTAGCGAGCTTATCGATTTTCAAAATAAAATAAAATGATATTTTGTACATTTAACATGGCGGTAGGATAAATACGTTGTCAGATTCTCCCTCGGGCAATACGGTCTGATGTACGCCATTTTGTAACAGTGTCATCCCTCGCCTACAGGTTCGGGCGGGGGATGGCACTGCTGCAAAAAGGCGTACACCAGACCGTATTAACCTCGAGAAAATCATACAACTTATAGTATATAAGTACAATTTATTAAATATATATAGATATATATGTTTCGAAACTCACCAAATTTTTTCTATATATTTCGAAACACACCAAATCGTTTCTGGGGTTCATATACATGTTTACAATCATTCACTTAAGTATTTTCGTCTTGTGGCGCATAGCACACTGAAACAACATACTAGTAATCTGTCCATAATGTACAATCTTGAATTATATCTCTTGCTGGTCACGCAATATGTATCTCCTGCGTCCTTTTGTGATAGCTGTGGTTTCTAAAGAGCTAGCTTGGTGGTTTTCAATAATGACAGACAAGTAATGAACCATGCACTTAGAATAAGAACGTAAAACCAATACCTTGATTGCTACAACAATGCAGTTAATGTATCCTTTGCCCCATCTCTGTAGTGGTCTATATGTCAACCTGTATATCATCCACATCTCAGCAGTGTGAATGGAGTCAATGTAGTGTACGTGATTTTATCTGTAGCACGAACTTCAAGCCGTTGTGTGCACTTATACACGAAATGGCATTGTCATGTTACCTCAAACAGTGGATCTGTTCACAGTATGTATGCATCACCTGTAATGCAGGTCCATATTCTATTTCAAATTTTCTTTTCCCCGATGTCACAGATATATCCACGCAGAATCTCATGTAACCATTTCACACAGATTAAAGCTCTTATCAGTCATGCAATCGTTGTTCAATACTATGAATGTTTTTCCTGCGATTACATACGAGACTGACAGGCGCTTTGTGAACGTTGCTGTCTGCCTTGTCCCATTGTGGAACGGGTAACCAATACCTACCCTTGCATGCAGACCGCAGTTGCACTGTTTCCAGTGTTCCACATCGGTGGCCACCAGACAACAGTCTTCGGTGGATTCGCCACAACAACATGGACGCCATCTGGAGGTACGACTGATCTGTTTGCTACCAGAGTCAGAAGTTACAATGGAGAATATCTTCCCCACATCTATGACAGTGAGGATACTGTATATCAGCGTTCTGTTCCTTGCTAAAGGTAAGTGGTGCTAGTGGTGCCATGTATTCACTAGTTGACAATAATAATGAGTATCAGCGTTCGTTCTGCAGGTAAGTGGTGCAACGCCATGTATTAAAGGTAAGTGGCGCCACGCCATGTATTCACTAGTTGACAATAATAATGAGTATCAGCGTTCTAGTCTTTGCTAAAGGTAAGTTGTGTCACGCCATGTATTCACTAGTTGACAATAATAATGAGTATCAGCGTTCTGTTCCTTGCTAAAGGTAAGTGGTGCTACGCCATGTATTCACTAGTTGACAATGAATGAGCGTTCTGTCCCTTGTTAAAGGTAAGTGGTGTCACGCCTGTAATCAGCGTTCTGTTTTGCTGCATTTGATTGGTTCTACGCCATGAATTCACTAGTTGAAAATAATACTGAGTATCAGCGTTCTAGTCCTTGCTGCAGGTAAGTGGTGCCACGCCATGTTTTTACATGTTATATCGCGATGGAAATAAGAAAACAATGGGTGTTTTTAAATAAATGCTTTGTTCATAAAATACATATTAACGTTAATCAAAATACAAGACAGTGAGGTTATTCGTATTGGTCTTTGAAATGGTGTACGCTGTAAGGAAGGTAGGAAGCAATGCAACCAAACCGTCAGAGGATACACCATCCCAATTGGGTTGACTGTACGCACAACACTCGCATTGATACTGCTATTCTCATACATGAAAGACAATTGAGTTGGGGTTTTTAAATAATCAGTGACAAAATGGCTACAACAGGATTTCACTGATGTCGTCTGTTTACAGCATCCGACCCCTGCGCCGACCACAAGTACATCTACGACAACGGGGGACGCAGCCCTAAATGTCCCTACCAGCCGGAGGAGTGTGACCGCTACATCACGGAGAACTGGTACCAGGTGGTCAACTACCATGGGGCTCTGGAGATGCCGACATCCCACGTGGACATCAACAGCTGCGGCGCCAACTACCCCGGCTGGCTGAATGGTTGGTTTCTAAGGGACCGACCTTCTGTGTGTGTGCGTGCGAGCGCGACTGTTCGTCTTTCTGTTTGTCTCTGTGCCTGTCAGTGCGCGTGCTTACATTTTGTTTGCGACGTGATTTAGACAATAACTAACGAGTGACGGGGAATGACAGATTATCTTTCCCGACCTATATTAATTACATAATCAATATAACGAGTTTTCGATCTAAAAAACAGCTCAAATGAAAACAGGTTTCTCTCTAAGGAAAACTGCAATGTGCGGAATCCCCGTATTCCTACGCTTCATTTCCAACATATTCATCGCATTACCACTGTCTTAATACCCTGGATGCCACAGGGACATATATGTCCTTCCCCTTCAACCCTCAATTTCAAGTCCAATAAAAATCAAAATATCTCACGCACACAAATACACTTCACAGTTTTGAATTCTGCGGGAAATTTCCTGTTTCTTGATACCATCCACTATTATTTTAGACAAAGCTCAAGTGCTGAAAATGACCTTACAAAATAGGCTTCATCGAAAATGTCGCGATTTTTGACACAGTACGAAATCGCGATTCACAGCGTTATTTGCTGTATGTTTTGAAATTCGGATAATTACTGCGAGTATTGAATTTCAAAAATAACATATTCATGATCACTGATATCAGTTTTACATGAAATCGCTAATTATAATTCTGAAACGTTGCCGATGAATCTAGAATCGGTTGGGATGTTTTCGAAAATGCACCTACACGAACGCCATAGAGCGTTTTCCGCCATATTGGATAGTGTTTACAAAATCACGTTTCGCGAAGGCCGGTATTGAGACGCCTATTACATCACGTATATTTCATATTCAGCTTCGAAAAATGCATCACTGAATTCCCCATACATTTTAGAATCAAGTTGCAACTGGTCTGTGTCACCAATACCAACTGTCTAGATAAAATGAGACGAAACATATTGGGTGTAAAAACGAACGCTGTGCTTGAAAGACTGCGCTTGTCTGAAATGTGAAATGAAAAGACAAATTCCAATTTTACACTGCGTAGCATTTTCTGAAGTTTTTCAACATTCATCCGTCTATTCATTGCTTGCAATGGCTCATTTTCTTTGGAATATGCATGGAAAGAGTATCGTAGCAAGCAATAGGAAATTATAAATAGAAACAATGCAATGATTTGATAATTCATAAGAAATTGTCAAAGTTTCCGTGCAGCATGACGCCATGACTGACGCAAAATCACGCAGAACAACAACGGTAATTATCTGCATTTCTGTCTTTTTCTCTTACTTACAGTGAAAACAATAAAACATATAACAATACACAGATAGTCAGAATCATTCTGATTACTTACATGTCATATTTATGTACAAACGATCCCTGAATCGAAGGAAGGGTCATCGCAAAATCCTGTGTACCCTTGTCAGCAAACCCGCCATTTTGTAAGAAATCGGTCAGCGGTAGTGATGTCATACGTCAACCTTGTTGTACATATTAGGCAATTTCTTTGAGGTGAAGGTCGGTTGAACAAGAGTAAACACAATCGCCCAATCCTTCCGATTACACTGTCAGTATTATGGTGTATATTTTGCGTATAGTTAAGATACTTTTTCATGAAACTGACTTCAGTATCTACATTTAGCCTTGTTCAATATCATATCATACGTGCATATAGGGTTTACGGTGTTTTATTCTTTGAAAGTTTTGATTGTTTGAATCATATTTACATAAGAAATTGACATATTTAGTGCAATACAGCATATTCTAAACCTTTACACAAGTGTTAGAAGATCAAACGTAGCCCTAACTGCAACTACTTTAGTTCCTATGATGTACAATATTCAATTTATTTGGACTAATATTGCAATTTCATATGAACAGATTAATTAACGGTGATTTAATTCAACCTGATATGTAAAACTGATAATATTAATGAAAATGATTTATCTATGGTATGAAATGTATATGCACACATATTTAATGGAATTGTCTTGTTCATTGCATAATTTTGTGTCGTTTTATAGACAAAAGAATGATGCATATTGATCGGCCAGGGGCGCGTTTGTTGGAAACGTTTTATGATTCTCTATCATTGTTTTCGATAATATAATAAATTCATATTCGATTAAATAATATTGTGATGACAGGATATCAAACTCTAACTACATTTATACGACAATTGTTGAAAAATATTTATACCATCTCATGTGTTAATTCGGACAAATCTTTCATCCTATTCTAATATATAGTTCAATATATAAAAAGCTATCTTTTTGCATCTTTCATTGCATACGTATGAAGAAAAATAGCTACATAATCAAAAACCAACAAAATTCTTATCCCAAACAAAATATTCGGGTGTTGTGAAATATTATTTTTATTTACGTTAAATTGATGCCAAACAGGTGCGCGTGTTGTTCACAATAAGATACACAGTCAAACCGTCTAATTGTTGATATATTCAGGACACTATTTAAATGGAAAAATCAGTCATTTTATGTTTTGTCTAAAGAGTGTTAAATTCTGACGTAGAAGCCGAGACCTTTTATACAATTAATGGAAATTAGGTGAGATATATACTCATCAGCATACCAATGTCGTCTTTTTCCGACGTCGCAAAATGCATAAAACAAGCAATGACGTCAACTAAAATGTTGTATTATTTTCAGCAATTCCATTACATTTGAAGATATGGCTAGTATTCTGGTAATAACGATGCAAAATTAGTCAAATTACGTCTACACAAACAGGAGAATATGGGAATCTAAGAACTAACTTATATATCGGATAGGGCCATCCAAATCGCTATTACGTGCTTTCACATGTAATACGTTGTCATTTTTCTTGTAAATTGTGAAACTACCAAACTGCATCCGCTCACACTGGGGAACTTTGAATTGGAATAGTTTGGTTCACCATAAACATAAAATAACGAAAATATAGCGTCCGTACTCACAACAAATTCTCTCCAAGTGACCTGAGTTACATTGACCTAGTGTTACGCATAACGGAGTTATGCCCCCTTATCATTATACGTGTATGACCTCTCTGTCGTCGTTTGACGTCATAGAAGAAAATCCATTTTTGACATTTATTGCGAGTCCTTTTTAATGTTGAGCGTATAACGGTATGCTCAAGAACATAAACCCAATTCATATACACTTATGTCGTTCAGATATCAGGCTGTATTTCCTTCGCTCACACTTTCTGTAAAAATGCCACATTAGGAAATTCGTAGCACAGTGCTTTTATCGGTGCGCGATAAAAAGCGGATAAATTTACCGTTTTTTAACGCATAACAAACTTTGGACAACAGTTAGCAGTGTCTATTTCTCAAACCGCCAAGGTAGTTGTACTTATATTTATACCAACGGATAGGACATTTAATATTCTACATTTCTGTGTAATTTTATAGCCGTACGTAGATCCAGGACTACGCGAGCGCAATTCTCGCACAACGTTCACTTTTCAAACCGTATGAAAATGTGCGTCACAATGTGTGACGTCACCAATAACGTTGACGTTCTTTGGCTTCACATGATTTCAAGCAGATGTATTGTATTACCTTTTGCAACAATGTGTGTGTGTGTGTGTGTGTGTTTTCTACAACTGTTATTTTCAAGCGTTTACAGTGATGTACTTATAAAGAAAACAAAACTAAGTTTATTGAGTATCTATTTTTCTTATTCTCGTGTTCAAGAAAGTTTGAGTGTAAAACAAACAATGAATTGAAAAGATGAATGAGGTATTTCCGGCATTTTGTTTTTAACCAATGAAATCATTTATTTTCTGAAGCAGCCAACCAACGTTCAACAAAGGTGTAATCTCCCTAGGGACTTACAGGAAAAATACTACCCTGTCTCTTCTTTCCCATATGGGTAATAAATGTGTGTCTGCACTGGTTTCAGGTGGATTGGACATTTTAGTTACAATGTGACCCTAAATCTAAAAGATGTAAAATATCTTCAAACAATATATCGTATCGTTGCTTATAGTTTTGTTCGGCCATTTGGAATATCGTTCAGATGTAACTCCATAAACAGCTTATTTGTCAACAAGGACTGTCTCACTACAAAAAATGATGAGTATTAAGCTAAAAAAACGTTTATGATGAAATTTGAGATATATATATATATATCAGTTTATGACAAATATCAGCTAAGATATAACTATCGACTACGACATAACCGTATCAGAAAAGGTTTAGTGTCTTCAAAAACCTAACTGAAGGATAGTTTGCTTAGTGTTGATATCGGCTATTAGAAAATTACGCGGCTTTTGCGAAGCTCAACGACGTTAATAACGACGGAAAACATACGACGTCATTTCTAAGTGTCATGGTCGCTCTCGGAAGTTCGAGAGCGATCGATACGGACTCTTGTTTCATAGGCTTTTATATAAGACATTTGAATGGCCATTCAACATGTTGAATTATATCATTACTGTTCTGATGTGTGTATGTAGTTTAGGATTAAATCAATCTTATAGGAGCGAAAAATGTTGCAGACAGTTTTCATTTTTGTCAACAGTATGAAGCATAAACATTGTTTTAAGCACTTTCTGTGGCAATGTATTTCATATATAATCCCTCTGAAAATTACGCTGTTTGTTCCTGAGGTAGAGTACTTGTATATACATTTGACATTGGTATACTCAGCAAATTTGAAAACTTGACATTGATAAATTTCGATATTTTTTTCTTTTTCTGTTTACTTAAATAAATTTACAAGTATATTAAACAGTAGTAAATAGTGAGAATGCTTAAATTTCGGGAATTCACGAGCAAACTTTCCCTTTGTAGCCTATAAAGCTGAGAAACACGAAATACACGTGTGAAAAGCAAATTCATAAGGTCATTTCGGTCCATGTTTGTTAAAACTGAACACGCATATTGAATGTGAACTGGAGAAACAAACTTTACATTGCAAGCTTTGTTTGGCAATGTCACGCCTTTTAAATTAAGAATGTCAACGTGCTATGGGGAGGCTTGATGCTGGTCAGCCTGTGGTCACTGTTGCTAGAGCCTTTAATTTCTCACAACAAACAATTTTTAATGTTAGGATGAGAGTGCTTCAAACCGGAACTGTTGCCGACCATCCGAGGCAGGGGAGCGTCACGTCACTCCCGGAAGATCAAGCGATACGATTATGTCATCTTCAGATTTATTACTGTAACTTCCACAAGTAGGGAGATCGTTGGTGGAAGGATAACTGAACTATCTGAAATTGCTTGCGTGACCATGGACTTCGCGCCCGAAGACCCCATAATGGGCCAATTTTAACGCCTCTTCATCGCTGCAACCGACTAGTGTGGGCCACAAGACACATGAGGATACATCAATGACAGTGTCTTCAGCGACGAATCTCGTTTTACATTGAGGTTTGTCGACGACAAGAGCCCGAGTGTACCGCAGGCGAGGTGAACGTCACGCTCAAGTCAGCGTCCGTGAAGTTTACAAATTTGGTGGCGACAGCCTAAGGGTATGGGATTCGTTTTGTGCACACGGACATTCTCCCCTCCTTGTTGTTGTTCGAGGGAACGTAAATGCTGCACAGTACAGGGATCAGATTTTGCAACCTGTCCTGCTTCGATTTTTGGAGAGACATGGCCCTGGACTGACGTTCCAACAAGACACTCTCGACCGCATAAGGCAATTCCTACAGCTTGTTCAGCTTGACCTGAGCTGCTCTACATATGCATGACCCGGGAGGTCAAATGGCACAAAAGACATGCAGAGTTAATTATATCTTCGTTAAATAGGGGAGTAGTGAATGTTATTAATGTTGCGTTTGTGCGAAGCATGCATTCATGGACTCGTTACAGAACTTGTCCCGGAAAATAACACTTTGGAAAAAGAAACCTAATCATTTCATGTATTAATTGAATTGTTTATACAGTCATATGCTATCTAAAGTACAGACGTCAGTTACTTTCACAATCCGATTCATTCCCGCTATCACTCTCGACACCCAGTGCAATAATCACTTTTCTATTCCATGTTCAACTGCAATATTTCTGTCCCAGTAGTTGCCTAAAAGCCCGAATCGGAAACATTAAACCACCTGTAGCTTCTCTTGTAAAGAAAGTTAGGACATTGCTGACGATTTCTCGACACTGAGATGTCAAACGCCGACCTTGTCTCGGCTGTTCGGACATGTTGACAATCAACTAACAAAGGTGCACCCCTTCACAATAATAGATCCAACCAGTTGTGACACGGTCACGTAATGCATCAGTATTCACTTAATCAGGTCAAGCTGAACAAGCTGTACACAGAATTTCTACGAAATGTCGGTATTCAAGTTCTGGATTGGCCGTTGCGTAGCCCCGACCTCAATCCTATCGAAGACCTCTGGGATGACCTGGGTCCACGTGTTCGACAGCAAGTCAATCCACCACAGACGTTGCAAGATCTTCAACGTCACCTTGTTGAGCAATGGCGACGCATTCCATGGGTTGTGTTTACTAACGTTCTAAGATCCATGAGGAGACGTTGTGTAAGAATAGGGGCGGTAAGAGACGCTTGAGGAGGCCACAACCCCTACTGAAGACCTCAACCGAATTGTTCTCCACGCTGAATCATGAGCGTTATCATTGTTAAAGAGGTTTTTTTGTTTGTTTCGTTTGATGCCAAGAGGTTCTGTGCACAGCACACAACTAAAATTATTGTCGTAAACCTAATGTTAAAAACCTAGTCAAAAAAATCCGGAGTGTCTATTCTTCAGTTATGCTCTGTATACGCTGAATTTTCATTTGACTCACTCAGGAACCCTTCCCTCCGAAACCGACGGCATCGTGGACATGACTGTTTGTGTCAGCTTCTACAACGAACCCTGCCGAAAACAAGTTACAATCCAGGTGAAGAATTGTGGTCTTTTTTATGTGTACTACCTTGTGAAGATGGGCGGATGTTCTGAGAGATACTGCTTTGGTAAGTATACCTTATATAATTTGAGTGAGTGAGTGAGTGAGTGGAAGGGTGGGTGAGTGAGTGAGTTATGATTTTAGTCACATCGGCAGTATTCCAGCCACATCGTGACTTGTATGATTTGAAAAGAGATGATGTTACAAGATATGATAGTAAGACCATTTATTTCAGCATCATTTGGTTCACATCTAACCCCTATATTTAAACTTGTGTGTTTGAAAAGTCACTCACTATCACCAAATGGGTTTTACGTTTTAGTTTACGACGTATAATATACTGGTCATAACTTTGTGTTTCAAGCGTTCATAGGATGTCGGTATGACAGAGCTTGCAGCAACGATCCACCTTGTGTTGATGACATACCACCAACGGCTGCATGACCACCCGGTTCATTCAATTCCCTCTTCATATGTTGCTGGGAACACATTCTAACCTGATAACCCAATACAGGTTTTCAGCAGTGAGATGTGTGGACAGGAACTGATTGTTTGTATTATCAATGACCAAACGAGTGTCATTGAGGGATAACTTAATGACTGTGCTGTAGAGTTTCTCGTTAACTGTTTCTGTTTAATAATCACTTGGATTTCACACAAGTGATGAAAGTCTGATACATGCATCAAGTGGGACATGTTTCCACATTAACCTACGAGTCGTGATATAACAAACCGAAACATGAGTCTCATTAACCTATTCAGACAATGACCTACTTTTCAGCCGATCTGAATTTTCTCGTGTGAAAGATAAAATAGACATAAAAAACAACTATGGTTACACTGAATTCCAATTCCTTGTTTCATAAGTAAATGGTATTCACAAATGAATTGTAATTTTAAACTTTAATAACATCGTATTTCTATACTTTATGGCGAGGTGTAGGCAGCATGACCTTAACTAAGACATCACAGACTGCCCCAGGTTGATGAAGTCGTAAAATGATTCACAATGCATCTGTCTTACTGGTTACACCTGTTATGGGTTTTCTGCGCTTATTCAATGTAGTTCTGTACCGAACAATGTGACTGACATAATATCAAGTCCGTACCAGACTGCCAAACGTTTCTAGCGGCAGAGCCTTGTTTTGAGATTTCCACGATTTCCAGGTTTCCGTTTGTCAGAACTCGCTGTACCACAGAGCACGCTGCACGACGTGTTTGCAAGGATTAGAAGGCTCTTAGTGTTGCAATATACAAGTGCTTAGATGTATCAAATAATACTGCTTAATATTTATGTATCCAGTTAAATGAATTGGTCTCAAAATTCTGGAATAGTTATTGTACTAAGTTGTGCAATACGACGGAACCAAGTCAACAGGAAACGAGACTGTTGTGTAATCAATGTTTTGACTTGTGACCAAACTTCAACACCACGTTAAACCCTATTCGCTCACTCATAATAATTCCGTCGACAAAAACACAAGATCGAAATATATCACGTGACAAAAAATGCATATTGTGTTGATTGTTTCCAATGACTGTTACCATCATGTGTTGCAGGTACTGATGCTGAATGTCCAACTACAACAGAAGCACCAACTACAACAGAGTCGCCACCTCCATCATCAACAGCTTCAACAGCACACACAACTGATAAACCCACATGTACCGCTTGTGGTAAGTGTTAATGAATGAACAATGACAATGCAATTGCTTAAAACTACCGTTCTTTCATAAAATGTTGACCCTATCTGTATATTGAAAGCGAAAAGGGGTATTCGTCAGCTGCGTTTTATCTCAAATGACAAAAGTAATATGTATCATGTAATTCTAGAAGCTGACTTAACTCACGTCAAAGGATTTGTAAATTGATAACCAAGATATTAAATGCCGGTAGGTTTGTTATGTCGAATTCTCCAAATATTCCCTACAGAGTGTCAATTCGAGAAGTACCGCACTTCGACGATTTGCCTGGTTGCCTTGTGGGTAGCAACTGTGACGTTAGGTGTATTATTATTCTCCTACTACTGTGAGTATTCTCTTGTTGTGATACCACTGTGAGTATTCTCTTGTTGTGAATACGTCTTTTGGGGGAATTAACGTCCCTGGTGATTTTAATTCAATTCTCTATTTCGGTATATTTGTTGACTCGAGGATTTATCGAAAATAATATATTCTCTCAGAAAATACTTTAAGAAAATAGGCATCAAACAAACTAGATTTTTAGCTACAAAGATACATTGTTGAAGTGTGTTGCTGTTTGGCGTTGTTGATTTTCTTGATAAAGTAACATTCATGATCATATATGGTAACTGTAGCTGAGAAAAATATATATATATGTAATAATTCTGGTTGAGTATGATGGTAACGTTCCTTCCGTGTCAATAGTTCCTGTTTAAATCTTACATTTTTTATACTGATCGGATTCGGTTATCGCATTTAAATCAATCATTTAACTTACTATAGGTTAGCATGCCTGCTCTGGTATTCACGACACACGGAAGCAGATTTAGATACAAAATATGTGTACGATATGTTTACTAACATCAAAACTAATTGAGTGTAAAGTATAATATCAAGCCAATGTTCACAACTGCACATAATTCCATCTTTTTCTATATCAAATGTAGAATCAATTTTACAATGACATTATTTTGATACAATACGGGGTTTTCTTTTGGTCTAGGTGTGACCCGTCAGCTAGTAATTGTTAAACGGTCACCTGAAAACGCAGTCTACCCTTCTAAGGAGTCTGGAATATAATCTGGCCTACATGTGGTCGGTTGTTCGTTCATTACACATGTCAATAATGCATGTATGTTGAAGAGAACTGTATTTGTATATATCAAGATATTTCAACATACTGAATGTCCATATTCTACTCATGTTATCGATCAGTGTAATATTGCAATAAATACATTCAAATGGCATCTGAGTTACATCTTTCTTGAGTTTATAAAGTTTAATTCAGGTTATTTACTGATGTTATACGTGCCTGAAATTTAATTTCTACCTTGCTCAATAATTTTCTGCTCAGTATATCCTGTTTAACATTGGGACCGGTTTTCTGGGGAACTACTGAAGTAATATGACAGTTTCCATTCTTATGTAAGAGATGCTGTGAAGACTGAGTTCGACATTTGGCACCTTACGCGAGGTTTTACACAGTTGCTGCCCTTCATCCATATTATGTGAATAATAATGTCCATTTGTATGGCGCCGTTTCCACACACTAGTGTGTGCTCATGGCGCCCCGTGTGTGTAAAGCTAAAAAACTGCGGCAATTGTACAAGTCATTCTTAATATTTCCTGAAAAGATGGGTCTTCAATGAAGATTTGAATAAGTCAAGAGATTTTGCTGTTTTGATGGTTATGGGAAGACTGTTCCACAGTGAAGGAGCAGCATAGCTGAATGATCTGTGACCATAGTTCTTGAGATTGACAGGGGGTGTTGTTAGGAGGAACTGTTGGTGTGATCTCAGCTGTCGTGGTGGTATGTACACTGAGATGAGTTCAGAGAGAAAAAAATTACCCACTCAAAAATTGACTTGCACCTGGTGCAAGTTAGACTCATAACTAGGTTGCACTTTGTAATACTGGGTTGCACCAGTGCAAATAACAAAGCACTAAATCGAGGCCTGATACGTCTTTATAGTAATTACATAAACCACTCAGGCAAACATATTCTTTATTCCCGCTCAATTTCTCGCTGACACGTGTAGTTTCGCCTCGTTGAAGTTACACATAGTTGTAGTTTCACCTCGTTGAAGTTTCACATAGTTGTAGTTTCACCTCATTGAAGTTACACATAGTTGTAGTTTCACCTTGTTGAAGTTACACATACTTGTAGTTTCACCTCTTTGAAGTTACACATAGTTTTAGTTTCACCTCGTTGAAGTTAAACATACTTGTGCTTTCACCTCGTTGAAGTGACACATAGTTGTAGTTTCACCTCGTTAACGTTACACATAGTTGTTGTTTCACCTCGTTGAAGTTACACATAGTTGTAGTTTCACCTCGTTGAAGTTACACATAGTTGTAGTTTCACCTCGTTCAAGTTACACATAGTTGTAGTTTTACCTCGTTGAAATTACACATAGTTGTACTTTCACCTCGTTGAAGTTTCACATACTTGTAGTTTCACCTCGTTGAAGTTACACATAGTTGTAATTTTACCTCGTTGAAGTTACACATATAGTTTAAGTTTCACCTCGTTAAAGTTACACATAGTTGTACTTTCTCCTCGTTGAAGTTTCACCTCGTTGTAGTTTCACCTCATTGAAGCTACACATAGCTTTAGTTTCACCTCGTTGAAGTTACACATAGTTGTTGTTTCACCTCGTTGAAGTTACACATAGTTGTAGTTTCACCTCGTTGAAGTTACACATAGTTGTAGTATCACCTCGTTGAAGTTACACATAGTTGTAGTTTCACCTCGTTGAAGTTACACATAGTTGTAGTTTCACCTCGTTGAAGTTACACATAGTTGTACTTTCACCTCGTTCAAGTTTCACATACTTGTAGTTTCACCTCGTTGAAGTTACACATAGTTGTAATTTTACCTCATTCAAACTACACATAGTTGTAGTATCACTTCGTTGAAGTTACACATAGTTGTAGTTTCACCTCGTTGAAGTTACACATAGTTGTGATTTCACCTCGTTTAAGTTACACATAGTTGTACTTTCACCTCGTTGAAGTTAAACATAGTTTTAGTTTCACCTCGTTCAAGTCTCACATAGTTGTATTTTCACCTCGTTGAAGTTACACATAGTTGTAATTTTACCTCGTTGAAGTTACACATAGTTGTTCTTTCTCCTCGTTGAAGTTTCACATAGTTGTAGTTTCACTTCGTTGAAGTTACACATAGTTGTAGTTTCACCTCGTTGAAGTTACACATAGTTTTAGTTTCAGCTCGTTCAAGTTACACATAGTTGTAGTTTCACCTCGTTGAAGCTACACATAGTTGTAGTTTCACCTCGTTGAAGTTACACATAGTTGTAGTTTCACCTCATTGAAGTTACACATAGTTGTAGTTTCACCTCGTTGAAGTTACACATAGTTGTAGTTTCACCTCATTGAAGTTACACATAGTTGTAGTTTCACCTCGTTGAAGTTACACATAGTTGTAGTTTCACCTCGTTGAAGTTAAACATAGTTGTAGTTTCACCTCGTTGAAGTCTCACATAGTTGTATTTTCACCTCGTTGAAGTTACACATAGTTGTAATTTTACCTCGTTGAAGCTACACATAGTTGTTCTTTCTCCTCGTTGAAGTTTCACATAGTTGTAGTTTCACTTCGTTGAAGTTACACATAGTTGTAGTTTCACCTCGTTGAAGTTACACATAGTTTTAGTTTCAGCTCGTTCAAGTTACACATAGTTGTAGTTTCACCTCGTTGAAGTTACACATAGTTGTTGTTTCACCTCGTTGAAGTTTCACATACTTGTAGTTTCACCTCATTGAAGCTACACATAGTTGTAGTTTCACCTCGTTGAAGTTACACATAGTTGTAGTTTCACCTCATTGAAGTTACACATAGTGGTAGTTTCACCTCGTTGAAGTTACACATAGTTGTAGTTTCACCTCGTTGAAGTTGCACATAGTTTTATTTTCACCTCGTTGAAGTTACACATAGTTGTAGTTTCACCTCGGTGAAGTTGCACATAGTTCTGATCTAAAGTTGGAAGCCTTGTCCACATGACCAAAGTGGTGAACCCCGTCAGCAAGCTGACAAGGTAAGGATATCATCTGTGAGATGACTCCACGCCCTGCTACAAAACGTTGACTTCCTCCTGAGAGGGTACGTAAGTCCCGAAACATTCAAGGTAAATTTATTCTTACCACCTTTTTAGTCGTAGAATGTGTTTCATTGTTAATGTATGGCTAGATTTGAATGAATTGCTAACGGCTGAAGGGATGATGTAAATCCAGCAAGGGTCCATGTAGGAAGCAAATGTACTTTAAGCCCCCATGGTCCCTAGGTGGTCTACCTTCGGTTGTTGGCAATATATAGCCTGTTTATATTATGTGTTGTCTTCTATAGTTAAAAGTTTTAAGTGTTTCATACTAGTTCTATATCTTTATCTGTGATCCTCCAATTATTTTACTGTCCGTTGTTGACGGGGTTTTATAATTTGACTTAAATTATTGCGACTTTGTTTATTATTCAAATCCTCGCCACGATATGGCTGCAAGATTGCCGATGTGACGGTAAACTTTAACTCACTCACTCACTCAAAACGTTGACTGCAGCTGTGAATTAATTCATATGGGCAAAGACTGTGACGAACGAATCTTAGCAAAGGCTTATTGTAAATATAAAACCCAGAACAAAAGAAAACCCATCCTGGTTATCATCAGAAACAGATTCCTGGAGTGAATATAAAACCCAATGTATTCAGCGGACAGCATAGACAGAAATTAGTTCATGTCATCGTGTTTTTATTTTCCGTGCTCGTGCATTTTCAACTACTCTGTGTATGTACCCCTTGAAATTCTAACATTTAGTTATTAAGAGACGTGATGAGACAATAATTACCAATCAAAACACAAGTCATGCGTTCGAATGTATACAGTTGTTTGTCTGTTATTAAGAGCAAGGAAACAGATATGTAACATAGTTACTAAACATAATCCTTGAACATTCAGGTTAGAATTGATCTTCTATACGTCCTGTCATGAAAGGCGATAAAAGGTCCAGGGTGGTCCGACTCACTGCCGTGGTTGCTGCATGTCATCGTATCACAACTGCGTAGAGCGTGATGATGTCATCCACGAGCAAACAACATGATCATGACGCCTTGGTTTTCCACTGACACACTGTCTCCAGGGGAAACCTCAATAGTGAAAGAAATTAAGCAATGACATCATTGTTCAAAACAGTTTATTAGGAGACATAAAAAGGGGTAACAATAGATACAGGGTTACTTGAATCCTTGTTCTGGACAACATGTATTCGAACTCGAACTGCATTAGGTCAGCGAAGTTCAAACTAAACGTTTACGCCGTCCCCTACAAAGAGGTACAAGCTTTACAATTTAAAATTACACAATCTATATCTATACATCCGGTATATGGCGGACAAAGGGAACAGGTGTTTGTTTAGCGGGTGTGTTGTAAGATTATGGTGAACAGGTCAAGTATGTACGACCTTAAGTGTTTGCAAAGAAACACAGTCTGGTTCCTGTGCTATGTTGCGCTTGCGCTTCACCGACCCATGCAAAGACTGCCCGCTGACGGCCTTCACACAAGGCTAACAAACATGGCGGACAAGGTAGGTTTATTATAGAGAAACGCTAGAACGGGTTGTTAGAATTTTTTCTGTAGCATTTTTGTGAATACCGTTGCAATGTATATGTGTAAAAACAACGCATTGTTACTTTTCACAACGACACACAAAATGTAAACAATGACACACACACCCAATACAGGTTGAGACAGGTTGGATCCAAACTGAAGGTGTTTCATGATAGGATCTGTCAAAATGTCAGAAGGATATATTTTTTGTTATTTAAAGGCTTGCAACAGATACACGTATATACCTATTTCTCAGGGGGTAGCCCGGTGGTTAAAACGTTGGCTCGTCACGCCGAAGGCCCGGGTTCGATTCCCCACATAGGTACAGTGTGTGAGATGCATTTCTGGTGTCACCCGCCGTGATATTCCTGGACTATTGCTAACAGCGGCGTAAAACCATATTCACTCACTCATTCAGAAGGATGCATAATTGGTCAGGTGTCGGAATCCATTGCATGAACAAGAGACATAAATTATTGATGAATAAGACACATTATTAGATTACATAAAGCATGTGAACAGCCTACAGTATAATTACAGTGATACAAAGTTGTTGCATCACGGTTATCACATGCAAGGCCAAAGAGTATTGTGGCAGTTGACGATAGACTTACTTGTATTTGTGACGTAT